CATCAGGTGACTCTGAGCTGAGTGGAGGGTTCTCCCCTATTTCTTTTCCCCCCTATTATTTCTTTAAAGAGAACATGTTGTTACCTTTCCACATTTGCTTAGTCCATTCTCTCTTCTTCCATTCTTCCTAGATTGAGATACTACTAATAAAATTTTATTTTTATCCTTTATTTTTGGCTGTACTGGGTCTTTATTGCTGTTCGGGCTTTTCTTTAGTTGCAGAGTGGGGACTACTCTCCAGTTGCAATATGCAGGCTTCTCATTGCGGTGGCTTCTCTTGTTGTGGAGCACGAGCTCTAGGGTTCCCGGGCTCTAAAGCACAGGCTCAATAGTTGTGGCTCGTGGGCTTAGTTGCTCTGTGGCATGTGGGATCTTCTCTGCCCAGGAATTGAACCCATGTCTCTTGCATTGGCAGGCAGACTCTTTACACACTGAGCCACCAGGGAAGCCCAGATTGAGATACTTTTAATAAACTTCAGGGGATAGAGAATCCGGAGACTGGTGTTACCTCTTTGCCTCAATTTTCCCTTGTTAGAAGAGACTAACAATATTTACTCAACATTACAAGGTTGCTTGGGGCTTCCATTGAGTTTATAAATGCTGAGTGCTTTAAATTAAGAATATTTTACAGATGGCTTCTTTAAGACACTATTCTCAAACTTTGATGTGTCTAAGAATTACATGGTAAGCTTGCAGGCTATTGGCTGATTCTATAACTTCGTGTTTGGCTAAAAAAAAAATGCAGATACTCTGCAAATTCAGAAAGTCAAAGGTGAAGGCTAAGGAATCTGCATTAAACATTCTGGAGTACTCTTGTGTAGTATAGTAAAAGAGTGGGCAGATACAACTAAAGGAAGGAGACAAAAAAAAAATCTACATCGTGCTCTTTCTAAGTCTTTTTCCTTTACACTTTTTCCTTCTGTGATTCAGCCAATGTACCGTCTTTCCTGCCTCTTCCCACCCCATCCTCCTTTGTGTTGGCATTGGTATTTTCTTAGCATAGTTAGAGGCGCTCAGCTTACTGTGCAGAAATGGAGTGGAGGGAAAGGAGGAGGGACGTGGGTGGAGAAAGGCTAGATCAGGGTTTAGTGATTTCTAACTGTGAAGACTGTTGTTGCCAGGCTGGTTCTAGCCGGCTAACTCTGGAAGAGGAAGCCTGGGGAGAGCTAGACTGACTGCAGCTGCTGCTACTGTTCCTTATTTGTTTGTGTACATTCTGATAGAAGACTCACTATCTTTTCTCCACCCACAAAAATCACATTAGATATCCCACTGATGGACACTATTTTAGGTACTGACAACAATCCTGGACTCCTTCCTGTTTATAGTTTTTTCTCTTTACTACTTTCAGCCTTTCGTATTGATCAAATCCCAGCTGGTTTCTTTGTCTTTAACCCCAGGAGGAAAAGATTTGCACCAGATGGTAGCTATGGGGTACTTAAAGATTTTTGCTTGACCTGCAGTCTCCGTGGTAGATGAGTTATGCTTTTCTGACTATATACCAAGGCAACTGGAATGGAATCAGAGAGAACCTGGGCAACTTTGTTGAGAGATTTTGTTTCATCAAATCTTCTGTTTTATGTGCCTCCCCCATTACTGTTTTCACATCGTCCACCAAGAGCATTTTAATAAAGTTATAAAGATAATTCCAGCATCTCTGTTGTCTAAACCTTGGTCTTTAGCTTGGGTGCACATTAGAATTCCCAGAAGAGTGTTAGCAAATATTGGTATCTGGACTCCAACCCCAGATATTCTGATGTAAGCGCCCCAGTGGTTCTATTAAGTCTAGGAACAAAAATCTGGAAATGTTTTGCTTTATACAAAAGATGTACTTTAACTTTGTCTCACATATTATTCAGGGTAAAGTTGGTCTCAATCGAAGGGACATCAGTAAATGTACTATCACCATATGTCTGAACATTGTATAACTTCTCTTTGGTATTTGACTATTTTGGTATCAGCCATGTATAATAATAGCTAATGTGCAGTTACTATATAGTGCATTATATTTATGTTACCTCATGAATCCTTGAGTTTCCCTGGTGGCTCAATTGGTAAAGAATCCGCCTGCAATGCAGGAGACCTGGGTTCAACCCCTGAATTGGGAAGATCCCCTGGAGAAGGGAATAGCTACCCACTCCAGTATTCTGGCCTGGAGAATTCCAAACAGTCCATGGGGTTGCAAAGAATCGGACATGACTGAGCCACTTTCACTTTCATGAGTCCTTAAAGTTCAATGAAATAATCTTCATTTTGTTGATGAGAAAACTGAGGTGACAATCCCATGACACCAGTAAATAAAGCTAGGATTTCAAATCAGATAAATCAGATTTATCTGACTTCAGAGACGTGAGGTTACTAATAATATGTCTTCTCAAGGGATTCAACTGACCCTCTTCTGAAGAATATTAATTTATAGGTTAAAAATGAATGGTGCATGATTGAATCAAGATAAACTATTGTTCCTGAAAAGAGATGTGAGTCCTTACCTGTCCAGACATAATTACCATCAACCTATGAAACCTATAACTACTGCGAACCTGTGATTGAACCTAAGAAACTGAACCTTACTTTCCCACTATGGAAATGCTAAAAATACAGTGACATGCCACTAGATTTGTGTTTTCTTTTTTTTAAGTTATGTATTTAATTTGGCTGCACCAGGACTTAGGCATGTGGGATCTAGTTCCCCGACCAGGGAAGGAACCTGGGCCCCCTGCATTGGAAGGCAGAGTCTTAGCCCCTGGACCACCAGGGAAATCTCTCATTGGTTTTGTTTTTTAAAAACATACTCCCGGGTTTGTTTTTTTGTTTCCCTGACTAGGTTAAGTGAAAACAAAGTTGCTGTGTTTTCTGAATTTCTTAGGATGTGTGTGGCACATGGTGATAGTGTATTGAATGATTGATAACATTTTTTTAAAAGATAAGCAGCTAGTTAGTTACTAGTGTAGTACTCCCTATCCACGCTTTCACCTATACAACCTGGTTTTCCTGGATGTTCATGACACTGTGAATTGGGATCCTCTGCTGGGCATGTCTGCAACCTTTTCTCTGTGCCAGTTTCCCTGTGTATCTTGGACTCACTGTGGTCATATCTCTGTGATCAAGCTTTGATTGCAAAATAACTTTCTTTTCCTCTTCAGATTGAAGAGAAGTACTTTATGTTCCAGGAGATAGTATCAGAGTGGACTATATAGTAACATTTTAGCTCTGTAGACCTTTCCCCCCTTTCTCTTGAAGGCAGTAGATCATATGTACTTCCCTGTTGGCTCAGTGGTAAAGAATTCACCTGCTAATGCAGGAGATGCAGGTTCGATCCCTGAGTTAGGAAGATACCCTGGAGAAGGAAATGGCAACCTACTCCAGTGTTTCTGCCTGGGAAAGTCCATGGACAGAGGAGACTGGTGGGCTACAGTCCACGGGGTTGCAAAAGAGTGTCATACAACTTAGCGGCTAGAAAACAACAACAGGTCATAAAGCACTTTTGCCCCTCTGTGTATCTTTGATGAAAATTGTTCACTATCCTAGGTTACACTCAGTGTCATAACATGTAGTAACAGCAGCAGAACACCCTAAATCATGCTACATTTCTCAGTCAGGGGACTCTGGTAAATAAATAAAAAAGCAGACTGTAAAGATTGGGAAAGGAATGCTGAAAAGAATTTCTTGGCTGAGGGGACTGAGAAGCTATTGTGATCTATCTGCAAGAAGGCTGACTTGTTAGGACACAACTGTAGCACAGCTGGGGATATCTGGGGGTAAGAAGTAAGGTTATTTGGAAATGACTATCTTCCTTATAAAGTATGATTTATCACAGGATATTGAATATAGTTCCTTGTGCTATATGGTAGGACCCTGTGTATCCATTCACTATAACAGACTTTGTAAATGCGAATTCCAAACTTCCAAGCCATCTCTCCCCCAATTCCACTCTCTGAAGACTGTTCTCAGGCTTTCTCTTTTGTAGATAAGTTACTTCATTTGTGTCATATTTTAGATTCCACATATAAGTGATATCATATGGTATTGGTCTTTGTCTGGTTTAACTTCATTGAGTATGGATACTTTCTAGGGTCATCCACCTTTCTACAAACCGCACTATTCCATTCTTTTTTATGGCTGAATAGTATTCCTTCCTATCTATACACATCCTCCTTCCCCATTTACCTTCCAATGTACATTTGGGCTGTTTTCAACAGATTCATATTCTTACGCTCCTTTGCAGAGGCGTTTTTGGACCTTCCTCACCAGCGTGAAAACAGCATCATCTTTAAAAAAAATCTGTTCCTTCTCAGCCATATTGTGAAGAAACATACTGAAGTGAACGTTCCTTTTTACACAGAGCTTGAGAATTTACAAAATGCTTCAAGTGTATTATCACATTTCATTCTCACAGCAACCTTGGAACATACGCTGTTCAGAACAAAGGCTCAGAGAAAGTTAGATAATTTCATTTGCCCAAGGTTTACACTGGTTTCTAAGTGGTAAAGCTGGCTGTGCCACGCGGCCCCGCCTGCATCTTAAAACCTGCCAAAAGCCCTGAGAACATAGGATGTAGTTAAAAATTGGCCTCACACTATACAGAGGCATTGTCCTTACTCTGAACACGGAGAAGGACCTTAGAGGTATTTACGATCTTTGTCCCCAGATCTTTCCCTCCTGCCTCCGGAGGGAAGACCACCGTTTGAAGGGACTCGCGGGGACCGGGGTCCGCAGGGGAGCGCGGGCGGTGGGCGGGGCCGGGCGGGAGGCTCCGAGGGGCGGACACGGACACCGCCCACCGCGTCCGGGGACTCGGGGGGCTCGCGTCAGGGGTGGACTAAGTGGGGCCCGAGGAGGGGTTGTGAGGGAGGGGAGGGTGTTTACAACGGAAGGGATTCACCACGCGGTTTCGAGTTGGGAACAGACCTCGCCCCTCCACCGGTTTCCCTTTCTCAGTGAGGACGGTTTGGGGGCGGGTGGGGAAGGCGCGTCCTCGAAGCGCCCTCGCGCTCCCATAGCCCTCCGGGTGCGCGCGCCCACCGCCTCGCCTCGATCCCAGAGGCCGCAAGGGCTGCGAATGGGGACAGGGCGCCTGAGGGGCGGGTCCCGACGCAGGTGTCAGATCCCCTCGGCCGGGTTCGACTGGCTGGCTAGCTGCCTCAGCCTCTCGCTCGCCGGCAACCGCCCCCCCGGCCCGCGACCGCGCCGCAGCAGCGCCTGGAGGGCGGGGCCGGGGGTTGCGCGCGGGTCCTCGGCACGCGGGCGGGCGGTGCGCGGCGCTTCGGTCTCAGGGAGCGCGGGGCGGCCCCCGCCGGCGTCGCGCGCGCTGTGTGAGAGCGGGATCGCGCGCGCGCGCGCGCACGCCAGGCGAGTGAGGGAGTGTGAAGAGAGTGTGAGGGAGTAAGGAGCGGCCGGGGGTGAGTGTGTGTGTGTGGGGGGGGTTGAGTGTGTGCCGGGGTGGGGGTGAGGGAGAGCCACACCAACCGCGCGGCTGTGAGCAAGGGGGCGGGGGGTGAGTGGGCGAGGGCGCCGGGCCTGGCTGCTGGAGTCGCGGCGGCGGCAGCGGAGAAAGGAGGCGGCTCCCGGCATCCCGACCCCCTCCCCCTCCCCCTCCCCTCCTTCTCGGACTTCCAGCCCGCCTGGCCGCCCGCGCTGCCCTCAGAGGCCCCCAGCCCGGCACCGCCGGCCAAGAGAGAGGGAGGAGCCGCCCGAGCCAGGTGAGCTGGACCCTCGCGTCCTTCCCCGGGGGTCGTGGTGAGAGGTGGAGGCGCTCCCGCCCTCCGCCTCACCCCCCCGCCTCCTCCTCACCTCCCCCCGCCCCCCCCCCCCACGCCCGTCGCGGCCGAGTTGGGGCGGAACGTGCTCCGGAGGAGCCGGCCCGAGCCGGGGAGCCGCCGGAGACCGGGTCTTGTGGAGGCCGGTGGTCGCCTCAGAGCCGGGGGCGGCGCGCGCGAGGCGGACCCCGGGCGGGGCGTGCGCGCCGAGAGGGGTTGAGGATGCCGGTGCGGGAAGCTGGAGGGAGGGAGGTGGCGGCGGCTTCGGGCTCGGAGCAGTGCGGTCCCCCCTCGGCGAGGGGGTGTGGTGACCCGGGAAGGCGCGGCCGAGCCGCACACGCGTGGCGCTAACCTGTCCACGGGAGCCCGGTAATCGCTGCCGCCCCTGGTGCCATCAGATGGATTCCTGTGGTGTGAGACCGAGTCAGGCGGGGGTGGTGATGGACATGCATTTAATTCTGTTCTGATTTCACGGTTTCCTCCTTACGTTTTAGAAAGAGTGACAGCCATTCCCCCTTTTCCTTTTGACAGTCCTCTGGATAAGAATGGGGTGACATTTAATAATTGCTTGCCATGATTTTTTTTAAGGCATTTGACCATGATGCAAATCTTTTAACCACCCCCCCCCCCATACAAAGTAGTTAAGAGGCTAATAACTTCAGATTTGCCTTACTAATTTGTCCTAATCTCTGGTAGCAGATTTGTTTTATCCCCCGTATGTGTGTGTGAATAGAGATGGGGCGTTGATTCTCTTCTGGGAGTGGGATTTTTATACATGCTCCATGTAACCTCCTTGTAAATTCTTTCATTGTGCTGTTTTCCCATTAATTACCAGACTTGTTCCCACATCTTTGTGGAGTTGGGTTAGATTTGAAATCTATATGGAAACTGGGCAGCGTAATATGGAGGATTTTCTTTTTGTGGGCTTGATAGGTTGATTATGTTTATGGACTGTTTATGAACAGACTTAAGTTTTAACTAACCATTAAAATGTAAATAGTGTTTATTTTAAAGCTCACTTTGATAACATAGGATAGTTTCAAGGTCGTTGAAAAAAACAGTTGATTGTCCAAACACTTTTAAATATTCATTTGGATTAAAAACAGCCTCTGAAATTTCAGTCATGGAGAGTCACCATTTATTTTCCAACTTTCAGAATGAAAGGCTCTCATACAGTTGTAAGGTAGTGACAGTTAAAATTTCTTTTATATTGGTTACTGGATATTATTTGGTTAGTGTGTCAAAGGGGAGGAGGCCTATTCTGTTTTGACATGATCTTTTGTTTATTCTGTTCTGTCTTGGTTAGCTTAGTTTCCTTCTTCACGTGTCATAGATTTGGTTGTTAGTTTGGCAACAAGGCTGATGTTTTTCTGGCTCTGTTTGCCTTGTTTTCTCTCATCTTCTCTTATCCTTGCCCCCAGGTGCTGGAGTCTGCTTGTTGCGGAGGTGGGCAGTCTGTGATTCTGAGAGCCAAGAAGGGGAACAGCAAATTCTGTCTTATGTTCAGTCACATTGAGAGTCCTCTACTTAGTCAAGAGCCAGTTTTCTCATCCTGCCTTTCTCCCTGCAGGGGGTAAGGAGCTGTTAAATATCAAACTTCAAGACTTGTGGCTACCAGCTAAAATTCCACTGATCTTAGTTTCTGGTTATGATATCCATGCGTGCTCAGCTGTGTTCAGCTCTTCGCTGCGACCTCATGGGCTGCAGCCCTCCCGACCTCTCTGTCCATGGGATTCTCCAGTCAAGAATACTGGAGTAGGTTGCTATTTCCCACTCCATGGGATCTTTCTGACCCAGGGATCGAACCTGGGAAGCCCAGTTCCTGGTTGGATCAGTTAATCATTTCTCCTGTTTCATCTTGAATATGACAACTAGGGATGGAGGGGAGAGTAACAACAAGAAATTGTCCCCCTCCCCACCTTTTCCCTTCTGATTCTGTCCCCTTTTGCTCACCAGAGGGAAATTACCAGCAGTATTTTATAAATATTCTAACACTTCCTAGCCATATAGTAAAGAAAGTTCTAAAGTGAAGGTTCGTTTTTTCCTCTGAACACCAACCAAGCTTAGTGCATTACTTTGTTGGGACACAAGATGAAACATACCTTTCAAATTATCTCCCAGTTTTTACTTTCCCCTATTTGTAGTCACCTGGAATTTGCTACTGGATAAGTCACTAGACTGATCTCAAGTTGTCTCTCCTCCCTCTGAGCTGAAGGGCTAAACGCTGGGCCAGATCAGGGGAATGGGACAGAGCAGAATGAATTGTTCCACACTTTGGGACATAACACTTCCCTCTGGGGAGCAGATAGAAAGCTAAATACAGAAAATGGGTGGAGAAAGGACTTCTATACCCATGAACAACCCACGAAGAGAGAGAAAATTGAGTTTTATTGTATGTTGTTTGCTGATAGCGGTTTTCTTGGTGGGGGAGTACTTAAGTGATGTAGATTTGTAGAGACTTTATGGCTGGTTAGTTTTTGAAGAGTGCTCTCTGCAAGTGGGATTGTCATAAGCATTTGAGAAAAGAACCTTTAGAAGTGTTATTTAATTGAGGGGGTAGATTATGATAAGGACAATGAAAAAAGTAGTAGTATTCAATGTTAGCTGTACTGGCATGTGCAGTTGTTTCAAGAGAGGTTGAATAGGGGAGATTAGGCGCAGAGGTTGGGTAAATTGTCTTTCAGTGCTTGGGAATTTTCCTGCTTGTCATATTTTTAGGGTCATTAAGAAATAATACCTTCAAAAATATATATTTATTATATACTTTAGATTTATGTGCCGTACATATCTGTGTAAGTGTTCAGCTTGCAGAAAAGGACTGATTTTCTGGCTTTGTGGTAACTGATGCCATGGTGTTAGTTTCAGTGTTTTCTTTTCCAGTGTTTTTTCCCTTTGAAAATTGGCTTGGAGGACAAAAGCCACAGAGCCAGCCAGCTCTACTCCCTTAGAGTCTGGTCTGCATGGAACCCATCTGCTTATATCTTTTTTCCTCTCCTTACTGACCCTAACCCTCGCCCCTACTTTAATTGTTAACAAAAGTAATTATTTCAATATCAGTTGTATAACAAGGATGGGAAGTAGCAGTAGGTTTGGGTTGTTTGTTTTTTATGAGAAACTAAAACTTAAATTTCTAACAGTTAAATTGAGATATTATGTGGCAGTTTGCTTGGTGTTGGTGTTTAATATTGAAAATAGCTATGTGTTTTTTAATCTCCAGTTATACTTCAGTATAACAAACTCCTTTAAAGTAACTCCCTAACTCTTAACCCTGTCCTTTCTGAGGTTCTGTGCTTCCCATTGGGGATATTAGTAGAGAATAAAATAGATGGGGATTCTGTCCTCATAAAGTGTATGGTTTAACTTCATTGTTCTCTGTCCTTTGCCCTGTCAGTGACTTCTCTCTTCAGTGTCTTGAGGAGTCTACTCTATCTGTGAATTGATGAGTTAGCAGAACAAATTTGTGTGAATATTGTTATGCCAATTTTTTTTTTTTTACTACCTTTCTTTCAAAAGTGACAGCACACCACAAAATGTGATAAACAAAAACTGCCCCTTAAATGTTTTTGTTCTGTTCAGCTTAACAGTCCTCCTTTCTCTCTTTTCTCTCTCTCTTAACCACTTCTTATACTAGTTCTTACCTTCATGTTATTAGAAATACAAAGATAGAGCATGGATTGGCTATAAGATCAGACGTGTTCTTACTGCACTGCTCTTCCGTATTTGGCATCATTTCAGTCTTTTGATACTTTATCAGAAAACTGTATCTTGAAAATACATATGCGTTTGCCCAATTATAGCAGCATTGGAATTCTTCCCTGATGTTTTGGAGTTCTCAGTTGTTAGCTTATTCCTTTGACATGTGATGTAATTAGCTGTATCCGTAAAGCCTTATTGAATATATTAACAGCTTCCCAATTGTTTTTTTTCAGCATAGTGTCGAGAAAGAAAATTTGGCAAGAAGGCCCAACATTTAACATGTTAAATGTGATGAACTTTGAGCTGTACTGTGCATTGCATCTCAGGAACATTTTTGAAATTTTGTGCCACGTTCCAGAGATACTCTGATGTAACATTTCTCTGTTAAGTGAAATCATTAGAAATGTTATTTGGATTCCAGAGAAAACATAGGTTTTCTTTATACCACAAAACATTTTAAGAATTTTAGTAACTAACCTAAAGATTATTTAAAGGTAGCATTTCAGGCCCTTTAGTTGGGAATGTGTGAACATTTGCATGTTAATTTGTTCCTGACAATTTTTTCTTCCTTTTTTCTGTTTTCTTTTTACGGTATAGTATACACCTAAATTTTACCATCTTAAGAGTTTAGTGGTATTAAGTACACATATATTGTGCAGCCACTACCATAGCCATCTCCAGAACTCTCTTTGTCCTGCATTATCGACAACCTGTACCCATAAACATTTAACTCCCCAGTCTCAGGGCCCCAGCCATTAACAGCCATCATTATGCTTTCTGTCTCTGTGAGTTTGAGTACTCTAGTACTGGAGCATAAGATTCATTCGTGTTAAGAATGTAACAGAATCTGATGTCTTTCAAAGACATTGTGTGTATACTGCATTTTTATTTATTCATCTGGCATAAAGGTGGCTTGCATCTGCCTTTGAGCTCT